TGTTGCTAGAGAAGTTAATGGAAAACTTCCCTTGACTACAACAGGGATGGGATTTATAGTGATGTGAGACTCTGACCCTATCAAAAAGCTATGTGAAATTTAGATAAAATGGGCAGTAAAAGTACAGTATACTTCTCGTTTAATAACAACTTGATAACAGAGTCCTGAAGGAGTTTGTTTTTCACAGCAAGTGCAGAAGCAGTAAAGTGGATGTCATTTGCTTGTGAACTTGGAAGGTGATCAGTAGTCTTTGTCCCAAGAGGTTTTACACTGTGGTATAGGAAGAGGAAAGCAAAGAACATTCATATATGTTCAAACAATAATATCCACTGATGCTCCTTCCGACTGGTCAATGGGTGGCACAGGCCTCATCTTCTCTGATCTTCTACTTCTGTGACAGAAGGCCAGAACACCTTTATGTTGGACAGCAGAGTTGCAAGGACCTATTACATTGCTCATACCTTAGCCCACTGCCTGGACTGTATCCCTGCCAGGATATGCAGCCTTATGGGGACATAAGTCATTTTATTGCACCCATAGAATCAGACAACTTTTCAGAGTTTTCAGAAAGCCTTAATATATGCTCTGAGGAGGAATGTCAGAAAAGAGAGAAAAAAATCTCTTCCTAGTTAAAGGCAGCCAAACTTCTTGACCTGTGAACAAAATATGAAAATCTTGAAATGGTCAAGAGCCACAAACCAAGACCTTCAAACCTGTGCTTCTTCTCACACCTCCCAAATCATAACCACAAAACCAAACCCCTTTCCTGCCCCAGATCCTGCTTTGAAAGTCCTGGTTCTTACTCCAGATCCCCAGGTCCTGCCTCAGTTCAGCTCTGCTCAGGGTGCTACCTAGCAAGTGCAAAGCAAACAGCATCACTACCTCACATGATGCAAATTTAATTGCAGGCATTAACAAGTTTGTGTCCTGTAGCACTTGAGAAAGAACCTTGTAGTTTAGCCAACCTTACTATAGCCTTTACTCCTCTGTGTAAGGAAGTCAAAAGGCAGGTGGGACAATCCTAAGATAGCTGCGATCAACATCATCCTTCACGATTATGCTCTCAGTCTGTACGTCTATTCAAAAGATCATTTTGGGAAAACAGAATGCTGCCAGGTCAGCAGATCTAAAAGGGTAGAATAAGAACAAGTGAAGTGCAAAGTGAAGAGTACCCTGTATATTTCTTCAGTGTGTCCAAGATGATCCATTTGACACCTGATTTTTCCAGTGAGGTCATTACCCGAAACAGAGAAACCATATAGCTTCGAGACAGATGATTAGAACAGAAGAACACTTTGACCTAATTTAACCAGAGGTTATTGGCTTGATGCAGGAGTGAAATTCTTTGGCCTGTTCTTGCAGGAAGAAGATTAGATAACCAGACAGTCCTTTCTGTCCTTTAATCCAGGAATCTTAAGTGTTACCAAACTGCCCTATTAAATGAGAAGAATATATATATCATGGAAAATATTGAATCACTTGCGCTAAATTATAAATGTTAAAAATGAGTATAGTCAAAGACAGAAGAATCAGTAAAGCCAGAAGGCTTCTTCCAGAATACCCAGGCTCAGCATATGAAATTCGCATTACAGTAAAAAAGTATGTTGCACATCAAATGCATAAAGTGTCAAGCCATGGATATAATAGTGTTTTAATAGGACCCTATTGTCTTTCTATCTCAGATTAGTCAGCAACTGTTCCCTTCTGGTCTGTGGTTAACTTTTGTTGTAATGTAAACAGCATGCATTTCACTCAAATTTCTCTTTTCCCTCTGTTCAGTTCTGCTGGCTGCATAGAGTAGCCTTATATTTTGATAAACCCTCAACCTGCTGCTTTTCGTGACAGCAGAGTTCTGCCACCAAAGTGCCTAAACTCTGGCACGTGTTTCTGCCATGAAATCAGCAAAAGTGTTTTTTAACCTTAGCACAAGCCATGATGGATCGCATTCCCAGCTAGTATAACTGAGCCCTGCCCCACAGAAGGCAATGGAACAGGGCCAGTATGTAGCAGCTGAGGAGCTAGTTTGGTGTCTCCAGATGTTCTCTACAGCTGGAGGTGCAGTGGACAAAAACAGTCACCTGACAAACTGCTCTTACGTTTGTTTTGCTTAGAACATACACAGTGTATTCCCTTGCATGTTTTTGTTTTTACCACTTGTATAGGCCAGGAAAAGTAAAAATGTATGTTATTTTAGACGGCAAAATACTGCAAAGTCAGCAGATTTGAAAGTGAAAAGGAGACGCGGGACTAAACGGTAACATAGCTACGAAAGAGTTATAGTCAGAGACTCATCCTTCCTAAGTATGTATATATTAGAAGCACCTGATTAGTTTGTACATTAACGAGTTAATTATTTTTCCATTTAACATACACTTATCTTTTAAAAATCAATAATTTTGTTACCTAATGAAAACACAATTTAAAATATACACAAGAAAATACTGACTGTGGGTAGATTTTACCATTAATGCCAGCAAATTATTCTGTGATTTAGCATTGCTGCATATTCCTAGTATTACGGTTCCCCCAATAAATCAGGAATGTTACGGTAGGTCCAAATAACCTGTCATTTCATGTGTATTTTGCTTGCATACAGAATTCAAGATTGATTAGAAGACAAGGAGAGAGAGATCATCCCTGATCCTTGCCTGGGCAGCAGACCAGCCAGTTGGATGATGGGGAGTGCTGGCTTCCAAGTCCTACTCCAAGAATCATTTCCGCTTTTACTTTGTCTTTTAATTTGAAGAGTCAGAAATACTGAAGCTTCCCTTTTATCAGGGATCCCAGGATTCTTCTTTGTCTCCCTCAGTAACATTTTAATTGTTGATATACAAAATAATATAGCTTTAGTCTGAGGGAGAGTTACCAGCCTTCTGTCATAGTCCAGGGCTTGACGGTTAGGGCATTTGGTTGGCAATTGAGAGTTTCAAGCCTGTCAGACAGAGGAAGGAACATCAGCAACTTTCCTGTAGGCTTGGTCAATGCTCTAATCATTGCAGTAAAAAGGGAAGTAGCAGCAGCAGCAGTCAGTATTGCCATCTTTTAAAATAATTTAGGTTTCTTTTGGAGAGGATTCTGGTCTAAAGCATCCAAAGCAAGAATTACTACCTCCTGATTACATGAGTTGAGCGCTCTGTCCTCACAGTCTTCAGTATTTCTCTATTGACTAGCCCTTGGTAGGTCTCATATGCTAGCTTTTGAGGATCCCAATCAATTGGCATCTAACTGTACCCACAGACTGCAGGTGAGCTTGTCTGTATGTTCCAGATTGCAGTACAGGAACTGGTGACAGATAGATCGACAGTACAGTGCCGTACTGTTCAGACACACAAAATCCGTTTGTCTGTGCCTGTCCAGGAGAACTGGGATGTGCCTCCCACCCACAGATCAATTCTGTGTAGGGATGTGGTCCTAGACCTGCAACCTGCCTTGGCCTGGTTTCCATGAAGTAGTAATAATAAAAAATCAAACTCCTGTGAGTCACCTAGTAGTTCACAGTTAAAGGCCCAACATAGCATATTCTACCAGCAGCACTCTTGCCATGGCAGCCAGAAGTCTGTGCAAGCTTTTACTCCCTGGCAATTTAGGGAGTATGGGTTCTGTGCCGTCATGCCACACTGTTCCTGCTATCTAAGCTGGTGTCTTATCTATAGCTCTATTGCATTGCCATCTGCCTTATAAACTGCCTGCAACATTGGCCTTTGCCACATTTAGAATTGTGGCACCTCTGTTGCCCGTACACCTCTCTGAATCAGTTCAAAGTCTATATAGAGATAATGTCTACAGAAATCTGGAACTATTTTGTAAACCTGACTAGAAGTACTCTACTTCTGAGCTAGAGCGACTGAAAACATCATAGTGGAAAAAGTATCTGGGTAAAAATAGCAAAGAAACAACACATGATCTCCAGAAGTGAGAAGAATACCATTCGCTGTGCCTCTGAGAGACCGCTACCTCTCTGAGCATCACTTACTTAATTTGTCCAGAAATCACTGAGTCAGTTCAGTCTCTCTAAAAGTTTTTTCCCCTCTAAGGGCTAGATTTAGAGTTTTTCTGGAAAAAAAAAAAAGTGATTTCATTATTCTTTTCTCTATAAGCTTTCCTTAAGGAAAAGGAATGCGTCTCCTAGGCGTAAGTATCAGAAGAATGGGATTTTGTTAGCTTTACTTTAAAGTATATTGTTACTTGTCAAATTCTTTCTTTCTCAAGCACGATGGTGGCATACTTTGATAGCTCTCCCGTGCTTTCAGCTCTTTAATCTGTATGTCCTTTCCACAATGATATTAAAAGCAAAATCTAGTTTTATCTTAAGGAGGGAATTATTCCCCAAACATATTTGCCCATCTTAAGTAAGGAATTATTCCTCCAAATATATTGACTTATCTTCTCTACTGAAGTGCAATACATAGTGGGTGTGTTCCAGAAATGCAGCAAATTCATTGGGAGCAAATGGTCCCCTGCTATTCTGGAAACTACAACCAAACTTGACTGTTCTTTGACTTCCCCATTAAATAGATTAATCTATTTAATGAAATCTACTGATTTGCTTGATTTGGCTTTTACAGACTTAAGTGGATATTCTCCTCCTCCTTTATTAGTATCAACATTACTATAAGTGTTCTCAGAGACTTTGAACATGTTTGCAATTATTTGTTCACAACACTGCTTGATGCTGAAAAGCATTTGTGTGGTGAACATCATGACGGTTCACCGCACTTAACACCAAAACTAGGCTTTTAGTCGTACAAGCTGATGTCTTGCTCAACCTGAATAGTTCCGGTATATGGCAATTTCCAAAATTTAAGGTCAGAAAGGATCACTAGATCAACTAATTTGATCCTGTTAAATTTCATTCCTCCAGACTGAGACCAGCTGTGTGTGTTTGGGCAAGTGCCTCCCAGCAAGGCATTCTCTCCTGATTTGAGAACATCTAGAGACAAATAATCTAGCACTTTCCTTGATCATTTGTTTCAGATTCCTCAGATGAGAGTAACGGTCTTCCTAAATCAGGTCCACCTAGCCTAGTATCCTATCTCCCACAGTAACCATAGTCTGGCATCCAGAGAAGCATAAAAAAGCAAGGTAAAAAAGTGCATTTTTTCCTATGGGATACTGATTTATGATTTCTGTGAATATTAATTTTCTCTGACGATTTTATAGTTCAGGGTCCTGTGCTGGATGTAGTTTTAGTGTTTCGTATGTATTTGGTAACCTTCAGTGGGTTTCTCTTCCATGAGCTGGTCTTTCAGTCTCCCCATGAATTCATGTAAGCTTTCAGTATCCACGATGTGCTGTGGTAATCCTTTTTTACCTCAGTGGTATAAATACTTTGCTTTGCTCAAGCTTCTACTCGCTGGCTTGCTTAGGCCTTTCTCCGCTAGCCTAAGGCGGCCATCAGCATGCAGCATTTTCATGTGTCTACACTTGTGCACAGTAACGAAGTCTCAAAATAAACACGCTAAGCCCTTAAGAAATGCCCACACTGTATTTCTCGGCAGACGGAGGCTTGTTCTACCTGTTCGCCAAGCTATTAGCGCAAGCCAGCGCCTCTCCAAAGCCATGAAAGTGTGGTTGTGGGGTGGTACCCAAGCTAGGTATCACCTTTTTGCTTAGAAGTTGTGTCTGCTGTCTGGCAGACACAGTGCAGTCAGAGTAATCTTGTCTGTTCTGAGTCTCTCACTGAAGTGTTTCTCTCTAGCTCTTAAATAATTCAATACTTTTTTCTATCTGCTCTGATTTTTCATTAGCACTTCCAGAATGTAGACCCTGGAACATATGTACGTGCATATATGCAATACATAATGCTCTATTGTCAGCCTACTAATGCCACAGATGAAAAAGTAACCTTTTCCTTACTGTTACTCATGATTGCCCAGTTTACACATTCAAGAACTGCATTCACCCTTTTGGGTGTAGCATTATGCTGGTATGTTGCATGTAGCTTTTTGTGTAATGTGGTATTAGCTGCAACCAGATATGATGAAAGTAACCAAACTTCAGTTTATCACAGACTTGCCCACATGCTCTCACCATGTACCTGAAACTAATTGCAGGGCAGTTTCTAGAACTAGCAGCAGTTCTCCTTAAAAAACTTTAATACGTTCAATATGGTATTTTCATGCCGTTATCTCCTGCTCTGTAACGCATTAGTGACAAAGACACTGGCCCTGGAGTTTTTCCCAAAGGTACTGTAATCATTAAAAAACTTGTTTCTGACTGGGTTTTTTTTTGTGTTGGACTTTCTTTCTTCTAAATGATACTAGAGAGGACTTGCAGTTAACCTTTGCTAACTTTTGCTTTTGTGGGAGTGTTATTTCCTTTCTGGTGTGAGAACTCCTGAGAGACACTCATCCTGCCTAAGTATTTTTGAAAAGTCTAAACTGCAAGGAACTCAAAAAAACACTTTACTTTTTAGAGAATGTTCATCCCTACACTTACTACTGTTAGGAAAAGTTCTCTCTGGTTATGATGACTGTTTAAAACTTATATATTTTTAATTTTCATTTGCTAGCTATAATAGCTATTTCATCGAGATTTTGATATTTCTATCATGACTGACTTCCTTCCTGTGAAACATGTACCCTTTTCTTCCTCTGAGTTCCTGATGAAGAACTGCTACCCATGTTTCATGTGTGGTCTGTAATCAGAGACTGCATTTCTTAAGTGTTTATTTTTCATTATGGTTGTATGGAAATTTTGTAGTTATGAGATGAAAGAATTCATACCTCCGTTAAATGTTCTCAGAAAATCATAGCACTGTGAGAGGTCACAAGAAAGCTGCATAGGCAGCTTGATTCTGGATGCAGTGCTTCAAAAGACATACATAAAGTAGTCAGGGTAAAACAGCAGGATTGTATTGTAGTCCCAGTTTTGACCATTCATAATTTTAAAAAAAGAAAAGAAAAAAACTTAATTCTTCCTGGAAAGTAGGAAGTTAATCAGACAATTAAGATGTGGAGTTTAAAACTGTAATAGGATGCAAGACTTAAGTGCTACAAGGCCTGTCAGAGAAGTGGCATCTCAATTTATGTTCTAAATGTTTTCCCCAGGTAGGAAAAGACTGTTTTTTTCAGATTTCACAGATCTGCTCAATAAGCAGAAGGCTATCAGATCATTTTTATAAATATGCAAACCTCCTTACACTTGCTTCTGCCCTCCAAATTTTCTCTTCTAGATTGGAGCTGGGTGTCTTCACTCTCTGATTGTACTCGCCAATTCTACTTTCAACAGTCTTCTTTTAGTTTTCTTAAATAGATACAAGAGATGTTCTCTCCCTTCTGATCCTGCTTTGTCGGACTCCTTAGTAGTCTCAACAATCAGATGACTCTCATATACTGAGGGAATTCTCCACTGGGGTAAAATTTAGCAGAACAAGTTTTTATAAAAGCATCTCCTGGACTAAGGTGGAGCAGAATTGCATTCTGTCAGTTCTAAACTAGTGTGTGGTCCCTTGGGGAGGTTAGCCTGTTTATGTAAATTAGCATTTCTTATATTAGGGGAAGCGCAGCTCTAATTTACCCTGGAGTTGAGTCAGAGCAGTTTCCATTTGCGAACTGGAAAGCAGAAACCTAATTCCTCCCACTTGCACGTACTCCCCAGAGAAAGTGGGTCTTGCCTAGAGAACAGTGTTTTGGTCAGAGATTGTTGGCACTACACCCCAAAAAAAAAACCCCAAAACAAGGATTTAATTAGATTTTATCAGAAGAACTGCTAACTGAATGCAATGCCAGGAAACTTTATCTGCAGCTCTTTACTATAGTTCCTCTCTCAGAAAAAGCTACCTCGTGTTATCTGTTCTGTTACTGCAGCGATGTCTCACAGCCTCTGAGACTGGGGGCACACATCCAGGATACTGTAAATGTGTCATTGCCAAGTCTGTAAATATAGTTCATGTTTGTTGGCTGTTCCTCTGTCCATTAACATTATGTCATCCCTGGACCAAACCCGTAGTAATGAAAACAGTTTCAGTCCATGTAATCCAGCTTTTGTCTTAAGAGTCCCCAGTATAAAAGGTGAAATCAGCCCACACATGGCATGTACTCTAAACAGCTTGCTTCCTTTTCCAGTACCTATCTTGTTTGCAAGTTTTGACTAAAGTGCTAAAACCAAGGTTTTTTTTTCAAGACAAGCTAGATCAGTATGAGTTTAGATCTTTTTGAATCGGCAAAGTTATGAATTCAACTTTCTTCTTCAGTTCCATAATTCTAGAGTGTTCTGTGGCAGTGCAACAGTTTCATCAATGTAGATTCCAAAACAAAACAAAACAAAACAGCTGTTTGATCCTAAATGCTAACAGAGGAAGAAGGAGTTCAGTATTATATTTCCATCAGCCCATTTCAGCTTCTTCCTGTTTTATAGTAAATTCATGACCTTTTAACTGGGAATCAGTCATGTTGCTCAGTAATGAAAAGGTTCCGTAGCTTCTCTGAGTTGTTTTTCAATTTTATCTTTGTGCAATTCCTATATGTTGCTTTTAGTGAGGCAAAAAGTGCTGAGATTGCTACGGGAGTCACTGGTCTGTAATTTACAAAGTCCTCCAAACCCGCTCTTAGCTTTTTTTAAGCCTTCAGCTTCCCTGTAGCATTGTTGTCTAAATTGCATGTGATATTTTGATTCAAATCTTCCTCATACTCAGCATGAATTTCAACGTATTCATGGTAGTTAGCTATAAATACACCAGAAGAGATCATTTTCTTTAGAATTCTTCTGCTTGCTACTACCAAGTCGTACCATCAGTCCTTCCTCATTTTGATTGCTCGAGGATGGTAACACAGATGTTTGTTAGGACGATGGTGGGTGGTAGCTTCTTTCTCAACTACATTTCAGTGCCAAGTTGAACTTCTAGGCTAAGCAGATATCTGAACGTACGAAAAGGTATGATTACAGTGCTTGAGGAAGATCCTGCCCTTTCTATATTCATTACTTGAGAAAGTTGCAGCGACCACTTTTTCTGGATGGCATTTTTAATGACTTCGGGTGTTAACAATTATGATTTCCCTTTTAGACATGATACAGGAAACACATTTCAACATACATAGATATTATTGGTATTACAGTTATAGTGCAGCTACTGTTTGTTGACTTTCCACGTTTAGTCAGTCACACTTGATTTTCGGTAGCGCTTCCTTTCATTTTTTCTTTATTATTTCACTTGCAAAACCAAGTGAAAAAGCTACTCTAAAGCTGCTCATTCCCTCTTGTAGAGAGGGATGTAAGCCATGAAAAGAGGTTTAGGACAAGTGGTCACAGAATTGAGGTGCCTGGATCCTGGAAGGATCGTAATGTTGACAGCAACGGTGGAAAGCGTATTAGCGCTTTAGTGTTAGTTATGGAGGAGGTCAAGCTATGCAGAATTGCAGCAAGATAAGGGTTGAGCATCACAGCACTCAGAGATCTCATAAAAGAGCAGAGCAGACAAAATGTGTCAATTATTTACTTATGTTACAAATGATATTGTATTGGTAGCATTTTCTTAATGTACGAGTACATTTCTTTCTTAATGTAAGAGTACATTAGAACTTTCTTAGTAGGTTCAAGACCTGGTATTCTAGATATTTTTCTTACTATCTCCATTTGCTCTTTGTCCTTTTGGAAGTACCAGTAACAGAGACGGCTTTTGAACAAAACTCATCGTCGGTACTCTCTGGAAGGCCTGGAACAGAAAGTAGATTAATCTTAGTGTCTGCAATATAATAAATTAAATTAAATAAAGATGATTACATAGTGCATTCAGTATTGTGAAGCCTCACTGAAAAATAATATCATGTTAACGAGGATGCTACCCAGTTTAAGCTACTAATGATTCAATGTATCTTACACATATGCACCAACTGTACACTGAGACAAGCGCAGTTCTCTTCTAGATAAAGCTGCAGAAAAGAGATGGGTTTCAGAAGACGATAAAGCCTAATCTGCCGAGTCTGGGTGTGGACCTCAAGAAATTTGCCATTAAGGCTACCTGAAGTTCATAAAACTTAATAAAAAGTTTGTAATCGCCAAATTTTAAAATATGCAGATGATAAACACCATGTTTTTGAAAAGAACCCCTTTTGGGAAGGAATACAATGCTAGATCTGCTTTCAAATTCATAACCTTGTTACCATCTCAGAGGCTCAAATATCCAGAAATCAAACCTCAGTACTGATTTCTTATCTAACTGAATGGACCCAGATGTAATACAAAGCCCTTTGTAGGGCAAGTGTACAAAATAGAAATCCCTAATCCTTGACTCTGCCATGTAGTGAAGTTTGTTTGTGCAAGCATGGGCTTGTAGGGTTCCTCTCCCTGTCTGGAGTTTCCAGGCAAAGTCATGTACCAATTATGTTTTCAAGAAAGAAACCATGAAAGATTTAGATTTTTCTAATATAAAGGTAATAGGCAAAACAAATAGTCTCTCCTGAAAGGAAATCACAAAGTGTATTTTACATAGAAGTGACTTTTTTTGAAGATTGTGAAAAATATGCCCACTAGAATGTTAATAGAATTTGCTAGCATCCTTAATAACAGAATCGGAAACACAGATCCATGTTGTAATAAATTAAGTACATTTGGACAAATTCTATATCAAAACTCATCAAAACTTAAACCAAACCTGGGAAATTCCTAAACAAACATGAGGCAAACAAACAGCACTTTTATATATTCTAAAAACTACATTTGTGAAATGAAGATTAAACTCAGCAGTGACTATAATGTGTAACAAAGACAAACCTTCTTTCAACCATGCCGTACGGCCTGCTGTTTTCCCAGGGGAAAAAAAAATCATGTTCTAATTATCTATTGTGATTTTTACCCACTTCTGCTTTTTACCAGCACAAGTCCTAAATCTTTCAGACAGGAACTGGTCCCTATAAAGTTTATTTCACGACTCTAATGCAGTACAGCTGCCTACTGTAAACGTACGTGCCAGATTACTTTTGTCACAACAAAAAAATCCTCTAATATGTTTTGTAAACAGAATCTTATTAGCATAATTTCGATCACTTTAGGATATTATAAAAATAGTGTGAAACTTCTGAGTGAACTGCAGTTAACAGGCTGCGAGTAGACGTATTTTAACACTTTTTACACTTTCTTTCAAACAGGGGGACTGCCTATCAGTGATATGAAGAAACCTTCATGAAGGTCACACAAAGGACACCTTGGCTGAGGGGAAATCTTCATCCCAAATATATTATGACCGTCGTCTTCCACTGAAATCGTTGCAAAAAGGTGAATAAGTCGCGACAGTACTCCTAAGTAGCTGATTGTAAGGGACGCTTCGTCCTCAGCGTAGCGAGCAGCTGCCATGAAGGATGCCGCGCACGCAAACGGCTTCAAGTTTTGAAGCGAGGTTTTGTGGCGGTTCTGCGGTCAGAAGGGGGTTCAGGTTTTCGCGGGCAGCCTGCGCCGGGGCTGCGGCTCTGGGGGGCTGTGGGGCTGGGCTGGGCCAGGCTGGGGGGCAGCAGGAAGCTCCGCTCCACTCTGCTTTGTTCAGCTCAGCGCTGCTGTGTGCTCCCCGCAGGTGATGGGCGTTTCCACCAGGCCGGGAGCCACCCGGGAGGGCGCC